AGCCCATCGCACCCGAAAAGGTCCGCAGCTAGTCTGCTGGACTGCCCTGGGAAGGCGGCAGGGTGGGAGGAGCACGTTTTGGTGGGAGTGTTTCTGAGCGTGGGTGAGGGCCTGTGGGGATCTCTGGGAGGCTGTGCTTGGGCCGTTGGGAAGCCTCGCGGGGCTATGTCGGGCTGCCCTGGGCAGAAGACGGGATAAAGAAACACGTTCTGGCGGGAATGTTCTACAACGTGATTGAGTGCCTCTTCGCGAGCCTCCAAGGGGGATCTCATTGAACATGTCGGTGGCGTCGGAGCCACGGAAACACTGCAGGCGCTCAGACAGCTGGCCCAGGAGCCAGAGGGGGGAACCTATATATCTTTCGCGATGGCTCGGAAACACGGGTCCGACTGTGTTCGAGGAGCGTCCGAAGAGGTTCGAGGCGGATTCGGGGAGCGTGTAAGGGTCGGTGGCCCAGGAAGCAGTGGGAATAGGGATCTGTCGGATTGTCCTGGGAAGGCGGCATTGAGGTTCTGCTGGGAGTGTTCCGCAGCGGGGGGGGTCCGGGATGATGTGCTTGACTATCTTGAAGTACTTGTCGGCCGTTGGGAAGCCTCGTGGGGCTGTTTTGGGCTGCCATGGGCAGAAAATTTGGATGGGGACGCACGTTTCGACAGGAGCGATCCAGAACGTGGTGGAGGGCTCTCTGCGAGCCTTGGGGGGTCTTTCATAAGGCACGATCGGGGCATCTTGGGGGCCTCTGGGAGTTGTTTTGGGGGCCTCCTGGCAGTCTTGGGAGCCATCTTCAGGGGGAAGGCTCGAAATTTCAGTTCGTGTCACCCCTGTGGGCCACTCTCGGAGCGTCTTGGAGCTCTCCTGATCTGGTTTGGGAGTCTGGTGGGCAGTCTTGGTGCTGTCTTGGGCTTGTGTTGGGGCTCTCTTGGGGGCTTCTTGGGCTGTCTTGGAGCGCTATTTGGGGCCTCCTGGGGCCTCTTGGAGCGCTGGCAAGCGGGAAAGCAAAATCTGCAAAACTTTTAGCAACCAATGGGAGATCCATTACTTTTGCCTTGTCGTGCGATTTGGGAGGCCCTTAGGCCGCCGAACGGGTGTCATGGGCCTGTGAGGGTGCAGTCGGGCCGATGCGGGGCCATACTCACCGTCCTCGGAGCCGTGGGTCGCTGCAAGGAACCCGTCTTGGGGGCCCGGTGAATTGAATGGGGGCCCTCTTTCTTGGCCCGGGTCGGGGCCGGTGTCAGGTGGTCGCGGGGGCCACCAAGGCCGTCTTGGAGCTTAGGACACCCGAAAAGAAAATGTGGGAATTCCAAAATCCTTCACACCCAGTGGAGACGCAATGGTTCTGGCCTCTTGGAGCTATCTCCGAGTCTGGAGCTGGTCGTACGTTATAGTTGGTTGTAGTTAAAATGATGCTGACAATGCAACGTGTTGGCGTGGGTGCGCTTTTCCTAGCTCCTGGGGTGAAGACCCCGAGGACGGAATAGGAAATCCAAAACAAGGATTGCACCCCTGTTGCGCACGGGACGACCACACGATAGCATGTCGACGCGCGGGCGCAGGGCAAGCAGGAGACACGTGGCGTTGTGCACTGACAAGCAGCTTGCATTGAATCACATCCATGTGCGCACCTTGCTGGAAACTGGCACGCTTCAACTGCTGGCCCCACGAATCGTGAATCCACACAACATGACTTGAATTAAAACGCACGTTTTCACCTGGCCTCCCAGGCAACTCTAGAGCTGGTGGCGGATATGCATAAAATGCTCCGATGCCTTCACCAACAGCGTCCATGCAACCGAAGATACCAGTCCATTCAAATGGGGCGTCATTACGATCCGCGTAGGTGGCAGCACGGGATGGACATCTGGATCGAACTATGAAGACATCAACTTCGTCAGCGTACCCGCGCAAAGCAAGGTTGCAAAACTGCCCACGGCAACTCTGTTTATTAAAATATGACGACTTTTCTTGAACATAACAGGGCCGACAACCAGGCATGCCAAGAATACTATCTACAATCCAATTCTTCACCGGGTAAATGTCATACGAACACCCGTGGCTGACAAAGAAGGATCGGATTTGCTGGAACGCCACGAATGCCTGGCGTTGTTCTGACGCAAGGCCAAAGCTCAACGCTTCTTGCCTCCCGAAAGATGGCACGCCAGATTCTAAAATGGCGAGGAGTGCCCCATCAACGGTATAGTCGTGAAACTCAGCTGCTCCTGCAAGCCTCATCTTGGCCGCCTCAGGAAGAATGTCCAACGATGCTGAGTCCACTTGGACCAGCAAGCATGACACTGCTTTCCACTTGTTGCTTGAATGGTTTTTGTTTTTACGCCAACCGTATGTCCTAGACTTGATGTCAATGAGCTTCGTCGAATCGGGTCTGCCAGCTGTGCTAACAGCAATATCTGCACTTGCGCCCTCAAAAGGCATGACAGTCACGATCCCGAGGTGTGCGAGTCGGGGTGCTATGAACTCTATGCATTTTGTCTCATACAAGTACCTATTGGCCGCATTCTCTCTGAAGAAGCCGTCTGACTTCCCAGTAAGAGCGCTTTGCTTCATGAATGGCGGGCGACATAATTGGGAGCATAAACCTCGGAATTGCTGGCTGATCTCGGCATCAAGACAACTATGCCTCCTGCGTAATGTTCCGGAGCGCATCGGGCCTTACACGCTATTGCGACGTGGCCTCCCGAGGCTCAGAATGTTGGAATCAAATCTTCGTCAACCAAAACTATTTGAGCCCAAATGGCTTGAACCAAAATTGTCACGAAGTGGTCTGGTCGTGCGTCTTGGAAACCGCTCAGGCCGTCTGGAGAGCGTCATGGGCGCGTGAGGGCGCAATTGGGCCGACTCGGACCCGGGCCGATTTTGGACCGTCGTAGAAACCGGGCAGCCTTGGGGCCCTCTTGGGCTGTCTGGAGCCCTTCCTGGGAGTCCTCTTAGGGAGCTTGGGCCCTCCGTCTTGGGCACCTTCGGGGGACGTCTTAGGCGACTTTTGGGGCATCTTGGGGCCTCTGAGGGTTGTCTGATTACCGGAAGAGCGAGCATGCCAGAATCGCATGCAACAAAACAAATCATCAATGTTTGCTTGCGTGGGCCCGTATATTGAGTTGTTGCAATGTGAATGTGTAAACTGTGGTGCAAGCTATGAGGTGCAATTAATCTTTGACCGTCTTGAAGCTGTCCTCTCCACTGCTCGTGCAAACATCCCACCCTCCCACCCGCAACTTGGTCGCAAGACCTCGACGCCGACGACGACGACGACGACGGCGACTACGACGACACCGACGACGTCTCCGACGACTTCGACGACGACAACGACGCCGACGCCGACGACGACGAAGACGACGACGACGTCGCCAACGAAGACGACGACGAGGGAGGAGGAAGGACGACGACGGCGACAACGACGACAACGACGACAACGACGAGGGAGGAGGGAGGACGGCGACGACGCGAACGACGAAGAAGGAGGAAGGACGGCGGCGCCGACGACGACAACGACGAGGGAGGAGGGAAGACGACGACGACAACGGCGACGACGGCGACGAAATAGGAGGGACGACGACGAGACGCCGACGACGGACGACGACGACGACGAGGGAGGAGGAGGAAGGACGACCACGGCAACAACGACGACGGAAACGACCACGACGCCAAAGAGGACGACGACGACGAACACGAGGAAAGACAGAGGACGACGTAGGCGACGACGACGACGCGGGAGGAGGGAGGACGGCGACGACGACGACGACGACGACGACGCAAGAGCGCGCGCGCACGCTTTTGTTGAAAATCCGTGTTGCGAAACCTTGTGTTTTTGTAGGTTATTTGGACACACGATTTCAAAATCCTTCCGAAACCGATGGGTTTTGAAGGTTTTCGGCATACGCGCGCGACGACGCGCGCGTCTGCACTTCGTCACATTTTTGCAGAGGATTCTCGCGACGGCACACGCGCAAGGGCGTTCGACAGATTTCGACATGCGCGCGCGAAGCCGGTTTGGTAGCATGTTGTGAAAAAATTAGAAAAACAAGCAATAGTTTTCTTAAGATTTCGCAAGAGCTCGCGCGGAAGCTTTTTTAGCAAATCAGTGCTGCAAAACCGTGTGTTTCTATGTTTTTGGGGAACTCGATTGCGAAATCCTTCCGGCACCGAGGGTTTTTGAAGGATTTCGGCATGCGCGCGCGACGGCGCGCGCGTGTGCACTTCGTCTCAATTTTTGGCCAGGGATTCGTGAAAAAGTGCCATGTTAGAACAGGAATGTCACCGCATAGTGCTTTTTTGCAAGGGGGGGGATACCGGCCCCCCTGGGATAGTGTAAATTCATAGTTCGGATGGAAATGTGGTCAGAATCATACATGATTTACGTACCCTAAAGGGGGAGTGGTAACGCCGGGGGGGGGGGTAGATCATATTCTGTTTTTAGAAAGGAGAATTGATTTTTATCCATGAGTTGACACATCCCACGCTCTTGCAAACATCCCACCAACCCACCCGCAACTTGGTTTGCAAAACCTCTTAAGACCGACTACGACGACACCGAAGACAACGACTACGACGACGCCGACGACGTCTCCGACGACTTCGACGACGACGACGACGCCGACGACGACGACGAAGACGACGACGACGTCGCCAACGAAGACGACGACGAGGGAGGAGGGAGGACGACGACGGTGACAACGACGACAACGACGACAACGACGAGGGAGGAGGGACGGCGACGACGCGAACGACGAAGAAGGAGGAAGGACGGCGGCGACGATGACGACAACGACGAGGGAGGAGGGAAGACGACGACGACAACGACGACGACGAC